ATGTCACGACAATGGCGACACAGACGCTTCATATTCGCGAAAGTTGACCATGCCAAGGCCGTGCGGAGAGCCATTTCTCTTCTAATAATGCTGTCAGAAGAGACGCAGCTCCCATGATAAATGAAGCTATCTATTTGGTTAAGTTGCACTCCTTCAATGATCAACCTTGGGGAAGGTGGATGTCAAACTGGGAGTAGTACCTTGCATTTCGATGGGGCAAAGGTTATGCCCTACCTGGCAACATCAAACTTTAAGCGGTTTTGAACGGCCAGCACAATCTGTGGGTCGTCACCAAGCAAAGCAATAGCATCAGCAATGTTCAATTCAGTCGCGCGGTTGCCTGGAAGAAACTGTACACCAGAAGCCTAGAGATCTTTCGCCGCGCTTAATAAAACATCCTCAATCATAAACTCGAAAGGAACCGGTGACATGGAGCATCCTGTCACACACCTCAAGGGATGGTGAAAGGTGAAGAGAGTCGACTATAATCTCTCACTCTGCCAGAGACATTGTTGCATAAAACACGAAGTATGGCGGTATAATTTTTGGGTACGCCATTCCTTTGCAGACAAGCCATAAAGCAGGCCGATCGACCGAGTATGGAGGCACAAATACGCGACAATCGTAGGCTGGCGAGAAATATGTCGCTGCTCGAGGAGTTGGCGGTGCGTAAACATGTGCTGTACAGACCCTCGATAGGGGAGGAAACCAGCTAGTTCCTCACGGTTGTGTACTTCTTGTATTGGTGTTTGCCTGCACAGTAGAACGGATGTTAGCAATTTGAAGGCGACGCATATTAGGTTGCTTCCCCTGTGGTTGACACATAAGGTGCGAACGCCATTTTTGAAGATGGATACGCCAATCGACTCGACCCAAGAGGATGGAGCATTTTCTTCAGACAAAAGCCTGGAAATCCGAATTGGTAACTAGTTGAAAATTTCATTGACGTATTAAGAAGACATACTTTGCGGTATGTTGCGGTATGTTAACATTTTGATTGCCCTCATCAGTCGCGACGCAATACAGGTAGAACGAAATATGCATTAAATACGGCTCACACTTAGTTAAATCGATAAACACACAAAATTGGCGTGGATGACGTATCAGGTAAATGGCAATCTAATTGGTTGGCTCAGTTGCTTCCGGGCACAATGCGGGACAATTCAAGCTTATCAGTATCGCCTCACTAATTGCCAACTACTTTGCGTTTCTGTTGCGCAGTAGCACCTTGCATAAATCAAATGGGTTCACCTGGTGACGAGTTGTCAATAGGTGCTTTGTGATAGACGAGGCAGGTTTCCGGTTCATTCTTTGGTCCACTCCGCCTTGGTGAGACAGCAACTGTTTTAGCCAAAATGGGAAGTGTGCATCCACCCTTTGAGCCAGCCGGCGAATAGTCCCACCGAGGTAAGTGTCACCGCAACTGCAAGTGAACTGGCAAATGATGTTACAGACCGAACCGCACAGCGAGATACTCGGGCGGCTGTAGAGAGAAATCCTTCGTGTAGTGTGGATAACTCGTAGTTGTGCGGTAGAGTAGGTGCGCATTGGAGCGGACCTGAGGTTGTGACCAACATCATTTGCTAAATGATACCCTTTGAACGCTAAGAACAACTAAACATATTTCTTCTCCGCTGTTCGTACTGGCAACTTTTCCTTATGGGGTCTGCTATGGGTCTGAATGAATTCATCCGGATACTCAATGGATAGCAGTGTCTGGTATAAATACGCTTCTTCAGCCTGCAGTATTTCCGGACCGCAAAATCGCCTGACCCTATAGAAGAGAGCTTTTACGTAGCCACGCTTGTATGTAACTAGGGTGAAGCTGGAAAAAGAGAGGTATGGTAGTGACCTGCAGATTCAGTCATATGAATGGGTTAATTTTTAAAAATATTTTAAAAGTATAGCTTTCTTACGTATTAGGGAATTAGGCGGTTTGCCTATCGAAACGTTGTTTTCGTTTATTTGAAACCAAAATACGGCATCCGACTTTGAAACGCGCGAATTGGACCGTGAACGACATACGTCCACGCACTCGACGCGCGGCTACAAATTCCCTAGCTAGCTTTCCTCTACTCCCTATTGTTAGCATTAGCTAGCTTTACTCCCGTTCAATATACCTTTGTGCTAACTTAATTTTGTGTGTGTTACTGATTACCTTGGTTGGTCTTCTAGCATCGTACCTGACATATGGCGCACGATCGAAGCGCTATAGTATTGTCCACCAGGTCGCTTTTCTGTACACAGTAAGCTGCAGTGTGTCACCGGTCATTCTCTTAATGGGCACATCCAAAAACGGAAGGCTGTCCTGTTGTTCCTGCTTCTGTGATACAGAAATATTAGGGTGAATGGCGATCATGAGAGCAACAAGACTGTTACAGTGTTCAACATTTGCGTCGGGACTGACAAGAGCAGCCGAAATGTTAACCTATGTCTTCTTACTGCGCTAATGAATTAGTTGACAACTCGTTCGCCACCGTACTTGAATAGCTCCGAAGGAAGTCCATCCGAGTCAGCAGCTTAGAATCACTTCAAGTGACGAAGTTCAAGACAGACATTTACTACGGTGGGTGGTCCAAGGCACGCAGTTAGACCAGTTAAAATGGGATTACCAGGGCTCAGCCCATTGGTCCATGCGCCTGCGCAAGATCGTGATTACTGATACATCAACCTCGCAAATAGCTCCACTGACGCCAGGTCTTCTAAGTTCATTAGTCAGAATGCTTTGGAAAAGCTTGCGAACATTTCCAGAAAGCTGCCATCTCCATCTCCGTATCGCGCTGAGACCACAATGTTTCGCAATCGTTAAGCAGGTCTAGCTTGAGTTATTGCCTGTAATTGCGGTGGACTTCATTGCAGCTTGAATCGGCTGGGACAGCTCGACGACAGTCAAACAATTCCAAGGAGCGAGGGGAGATCCCGTCTATCAGAGGACGCCCAGCGATTCCACAGTATGATTGATTGGACTAAAGCAACACCTTCTGTATAAAATTCCAGTGATGTTTGCCAACTATAGGTGAAGCTCTAGCAAACGCATCTAATAAGATGGATGGATAAGCTGGTTGAATGACGGGGTTAGCTTGCCTGTTGGTATCCAGCGTATGGTGTTTAGGCTTTGTGAAAGCAACAAAGCGCATGCAGAGGTTCGAACAGACCAGAGCGTGATCTGAGTCGAATAGGTGAACCCAATCGATCAGCTGTCCAGTATAATACCCCGTCATCTAAAGTTGATTGCAATGTGCTCAATTTGCGACCACGCTTGTGTTAGCAAAAGGGCACTCCACGTGCTGGCACGTCTCCTCGAATGCTTGAAGTTTGTGCTCGCGAGAAGGTGCCGCTTGTCCACATATAACTTGACCAGCCTATTTCTGTTATCATAGCTATTCTTATATAGAGCATGACGGTCAGTACGGTGACGTTCACATGGCAGCAGGCGACTGACCCGTGAATTGAAGTCTCCGGCAAGGACGACAACATCGAAGTTTTCGGCTTTACTGAAACGCAGGTGGAGTCCGTGATAAAAATCATCCTTAACTCGTGCACAACTGCAGTCGGTTGGAGTATGTGGTGAAACCACAAACAAATTGCGTTTCGCTGTACGATGCTTATTTATCCTGCATGAACACTGAAATCGAACCGCACACAATCGACTGTCAATCGGTAACCAATCGAGCAGTGAGGCCTCAGTTTTTTCACTCAATGTGATGTCAACACCGTCCAAGTCAGCTGCAGCAGCCTCTGTGTTATCAGACAAATGTAAGGAATATTTGGTCACGGGATCAGCGGGGAAGTCTAGTTATCTACGCTGCTGGCGTTCTGTAACCGAGTCTCAGAAAGTTAAGCCATCAATAGCTGGCTTGTTGTCCGATTTGCATAAGGGTTCTAACGTTGAAAGCGACCATCCGACATGAAGAACGGGGCCGAATGAGGGCCAGTGGTCGGACTCTAAACACGGGCGAGACTGTCCTCAGAGGAAGATTCAAAAGAATTATTGGAGTATTTAGGATTGGCGTGCGATGGCAGCGTGTAAGTAGTGAGGAGTGCAAGAGCGGAAATGAGCGACTTGGTTGTAGCACTTGTGATGTCCATGGTTTTGGCAGCAGGTAAGCTATTACGCGGTTACCCAAGCCTATTTTTGGAGTTGGCTTAGGGGAAACTACCCCGAGCTTATGGCTGAATTGTCTGACCGCAATGCAGCGGAGCGAATTTAGGGAGTCGCGCCTATTAGGAGTCGGTGACCGATTACACAGTTCATGCAATTTTCGTTTAGACGCTTGCAAGCGAATCGACTTTATTGGACACCGTTAGTCAATAGATGGCAGATTTTCCTGTTGGTTTTTGTAGAAAGACGCAGACGGACCCACTTGTCACATAAAAACCGCATGAGCCATGAAATTTCCAAGAATGCGTGGTCTTTCCCTACACGCATTTCGTCGGACGAACATAGGCCAGCCATGTCTTCGAATTTGTATCGCAACATCTATTTGCTTTAATAATACCAATTAATCTGTCCAAAGTATTTGTTCTTTGTTTGGCTCAGTGGCATAAGCTGCTGGATAATTGGCGTTAGCCTCTAGCGGTCATGGGTTCGATCCCCAGTAGGGGACCGATGGATGCACACCACTGAAGAACCCCAATAGGGTGAAACGCGCGTCTGGTGCTTTGCTGGATTGGTAGCTTACCTATGCGGCTTGGAATATAATTGCGATGAACCAAATTGAATCATACCCAAAGCCGTCTACTCATTAGTATTTGTTCTGCTGTTGTTGCGATGACTTCTCCAAATCTGCCTGTTAAATTACTTTTGATACTATTAATATCTCTTTGTATGAACGTGTATGAGTGACGATCGTAATTAACTGCGAATCAAGGCACACATATTCTTGTCTTGAATTTATAGATTGCGGTGATTTATACAATTTCAGCTCTCTCGTCATAATCGGACAATTAAATTTCTTGTGTACTGAAGCACAGACTTGTAAGCATAGTACAGCTTTGTTAAAGCCAGGATAATAATTTATTTCTATCTGTTAAAGGGCTTTCTGACAAGGCAGCCTTTGTTAGCGGGATAAATCTGATCATCAAGGTTTACTGTCCCAGCCGCTGATAAGAATTGTTGCCTTAAAAATGTTATTGAAAAACATTAAATTGAACAAATAATAAAGCATATTTTATAAAAAGAAACAAAGCAATTTGACACCTCACCCGGTGCATCAGTTACCCATGATTAACAACGACAAATATTGACCTTTCCTTTTGGGACTAAAATTGTTCTGGAGCCACTACGTGACCAATGAACGCGGGCACGTTGGATTTGTATACCAAGGCGAGGAAAAACGGATGCTCAACTCGGAAAGTGGGCGTACGCATTGCACATCGAAGGTTCACGGCGACCCCCGTTGCTGCTGCAGCTGTTGCGCCTTCTTCGTCGACCTGAGGGAAATATAGAGCAGAGTTCTACTAAAATCCTGTGTGACAAAAGATAGCTTGGCTAACGACTTCCGTGCATTGCGTTATCTGAACTTGTTCCGTTTCACAGGCCGGTAGCAAAAAGCGACAAACTGGTATCCAGCCAATCACAGTGAACTCATCAAAGGTGACATGCTGGTAATTCTGACAGCCATCTGTGGCTGCCTAAATTAGAATGAGAGAAACAGGTTTAGTAAAATACCAAGTATGCCAACCACTAACCATGCAAAGTGCAATGTTGACGGTGTGACTGCTGAGTTGACGAGATCGTTTATTTTCAGTTGGGGTGGGGGCCACACAGCTCACCTCATTTCCACAACCGTTGATAAATGAGATATCTACCTACCTTTCCGATGGTTTTCGAAAACCCTGAAGATTAAACGTAAAGCTGGAAACCTTAACGAGAACTCGAGGTTATTGGTAGGAGGCTTTCTCATTTGTTAGAAGATTCGGATAAATTTGCCATAGGTTTTCACTGGTTATTTGCAGGGTACTATCTGACAGGGTTGCAGCAACGGAACCAACATCAATCTTTTGAAATGACCACATTCAGGGATGGGGATATGGATTAGAGCAAAGAAAATAAACTATCAATGCATTCGGCTTGTGCTAAGAAAAATTTCGAGCACACAATTCAATAAGTCCCCAGTTAGCACAAGTGCCGTTATCCAAACCGACACCCTCAATGTTGCTAAATATATTTCTTAATCCACGTTCTCCAATTCCAACTGAGAGTGTGACTCGATGAAACACGTATGCAAGTGTTAAAGGCGCATTATATTTATGTGCAAATGCAAGAGGATAACATTTGAACTGCTGCTTCTGCCGACGTATCGCCCATCGACAACCAAATCCCAAATTTGGCGCCATTACGGCAGTTTATTGGAACCGGCGTTAGTTAGAAGAGTGCTGGTGAGTGATAAAAAAGCCTGAGCAGTGAGTTACCCTTGTCACTTCACTTACACTGTGGTAAATGTTCACCTGCAACCTTTATTCCGTATACACATGGGAATTGGTCCACGTTTGTCTTATCTAGCCTACCTTCGGTGAACCGCAGGTGAAAATATAATCAGTACTTTAAAATCATAATTAAGTATATCGTATTAAGAGCTAAATGAGATTCCAAAGGAAAGCATTAATATTGCAAAGAAGTAATAGTGGGGTCTGGACAGGTTAGGGATCTATGGCATACTGGCCAGTATATCAGATCGTTCAAGATGATATTGCAGTAAAACACTAACGTTAAAGCTCGCATTTTGTGCCGCAATTATCGGTAGGCAGCTTTGGGTCCTTTGGTCACACATTGCAACGCATTAAGCATCTAACCTAAGAATTGTGAAAGATACTCCCGCAACTCGTTTACGGCAATAGAAAAGCAATAGAGTGAGATTGGGATTGCGATCATTTGTGGACTACCATAATCACATTAAACGGCCCATCTTTAAAGTAATAGCCTTTGTGTGTTCAATAGCGTCACACAAAAATCAATACAATGGAGTTCTTTTAGTATTCCGGCAACACGCTCGGCTGCACTGCGTATAAGCGCACACGCGAATCAAATGGAGTAATTAAATCTGGCGGAAGACAAGCCTTGGTGAGATATGTGACCGATTCTCTCCGAACGTAAGTGGAGTTTCTAAAGCCATCTTTACACCACTGACAGTGCACGTCGATGGTTTTAGTACGTGCGCCCACCAAGGTACATGTCACACGCAAATAGCTGCAGCAAAAATGTTGAATAACTGAAAACAGCTTATTCCTAGGAAGTGAGTTCCCTTCTTGTTATGTGTTATAGTGGTGCGTGGGACGGCCAAATGACAACCTTAGTCCGAGGTGGCATTTTCCGCTGATCACAGCATGAAGACGTGGTAAAATATATCAAAAGCAATGCAGTTACTCCTAACTTTCTTAGTTAACTCATGCACCTTGCTTTCTCACCATCAGCTTAACATCTGGTTTTGGCATGCACTTTGAACGACAAAGGTATCTAAGTATAGAACTGTGTTTGGGGGTAGAACATTGCTCACCTCTAAGACAGCCTTATGAAGAACTTCCGAGACAAACAACTTTTCACTGGTGCACATTCGAGACAAGTCCGCATGCGCCGAATCAAATGCAGAGGTCATTCCACATCGTTTGAGCAATTCTTTCACGTCAAGTGCTTTGGATTCGGCTAGCCTGAATTTTGGCAGATACAGTTCCATTTCGATTTGATCATATTCAGTGTTCATCAGCTCTGTTAGGTTTCCGGGTTCACGCAGATGATCCAGTAGATCTGGAAACTTGCTCTTCTCTCTGGTGAAAACAATCAACATTGCCCATCTGCAAGATAGAGGAAGAATGCTTGGGAAATCCATTGGGAATGTCGAGTGGGAATAAAATCGTCGAACCTAGCAACGGTGCTTCCAAGTTATCCAACCACTATGTTGTGGGACCACATGAACCTCTGCCGTATATTTTCGACCGGTCAGTCGTTAGCCTTTCGTAATGTCTCAATAATGCAATGTAACAAATAAGAATAAACTAATGAAATAAAAAAGTTCGTGATACATTTTCCTTATCTTCTAGGTCATGTGTCAATATTTTATGCATGCCGCCCTAATAGCTTCACTGAGGTGATTCTTAAGCATGAATAAGTTAACGTACCATGCAGCAGTGCAAGTTGGCAAGAACAAACCATTGACTAGTGGGAAGAAAACAGTTTAAGCGTTTGGTTACCCTCTCGCAACACGAAAAGTTTAGATATCAGCCTAAGCCACTTTTCCAATGTCGTTGAATGGTTACGGACAAAGCATGTTAGAAGGGCAAATTACTCAACTGTGGAATAATAATAATAATAATAATAACAATAATACGTATATTTCTCTTGATGAGAGAAACGGTGTCTATAGCGGCACAGATCAATTTGTACAGAGGAATCCATGCTCTTGCATGGGTGACATGCATAGGTGGAGTATTGGAATATGCGTTTCATGTATTAACATTCTGGCGGATGGTTGAGGCCAAAGCTTAGTTATGAAAACATTGGTGTTCATATGATTTTGGGCCCCTCTTGGAATAGCTCATCGAGGGATTTTTCCCATGTGAATATAGCGCTTAGGGTAGTTAGATCAAGGTAATTGGCGAGTCTGCTACTAAATGTTTCCACATTGTCACATGACTTGAGTGTTATTGATAGTTTATTCCACAGATATCTGTATCTGACCAGGAAGAAATTAGAGCGGACTTTCGTTATAGCCTTCGGTATATTCAATGTGTGAAGCACACGTGTGAAGCATAGGTTGTGCGAGATTGTGTATCGCGCTGCACAAAATCAGTGTTTTATGATGTCAAGTTAGCAAAATCAAAAAAACGTTTTGACACTTGTTCGCCACTTGGTATTTTGTGTGTCTAGGCTTCGATTAACATCGAATCACCCAGGTTTCGTGTCATTGTCCGGCCATATTTACTTGATGAATCCAGTCATGGAGTGTAGTTTTGCCAGTGAGTAGCCCTCAAAATCCTTATGCTTCAGACAAGTTTCCATTGCCCAGATCGACCGAGCTTCTACAACACAAGATTGCGAGGACTACTCTTTACGATGCATCTCATCGGGCGTTCACAATCGCATAGTGAAGTTGTAGAACATAATAGGCCGATGAAGCGTGGTAATGATTGGTGTGATGAGAACGATGCAGAAGTGCAACTGTCTTAGTAGATGAATTGGTGCAACTATTAATGCAGCAGCTGCCACATTACACGCAAGCATGCACGTTGAGCGGACACCATTTATAGAAGCACGTTAGCACAAGTCAGAAACAGGGCTTGCTCTAGTGTCCTCTGTTTGCATAACTCAGCTTGTGTTCCCTTGATCACATTGACTTTGGCCGTCCGCAAGATTTGTTTCCTCGATCCTTGCGGGAACCGTCTTGGAACGATATAAAATACTTCGAAAGTAGCAGCAGTCCTAATTCGCTGTCCATGTTCTATCTAGGATGAACACTTGATCCAGAGGACAGTACTTTGTTGCAATGTTGTTGGACAATGCTTCGCATCCGTTTAAACATATGCTTAGTTGTGTATCAGGTGTAACTCACCCCACAGAGGTAAGTAAATTAATTTGGAATGTATGATTCGGAATGGACCGAGAGCTTGCGCTTGAGACGCTGGGCAATGAACGTCGCAGTCTCTTCAGTGACGTGTAGCCGGGCAGCTGGAAAAGTTCAAACTACTGCAATGGAGAATCTTTTGTTCAACAAACCAAAGGCAATATCTCCTTTGAAGGGAACTGATAGAAACACCGCATGCTTGGAAACAGTTGTAGACAATTTACGGTGATCACGAATCACTGCATGCATTCGGATGAAAGAAGTTGGGTAGACGTTTTCTTGCAGCGCTTTGAGTATTCGGTTCTTTTCAATCTCAAATTCCTTTGGAATACCAACTTTTGTAGTGCGAAACTGCAAGCAGCGAACTTGGTTCTTGTTATATTTCAAGTGTACAAAACTGAGAAAATGCGTGGATTGACCTAGCCAATTTGCTTTTTGAAGCTCACATCCTACTAGCGAACCGATTTCCTTCCTGTTGGCAAAGTGCCTAAGAAGGCCAGAAAACAATCATTTTGGATTTCACTGGTGAAAATTACTGTTTACCTAAGTCAGCCGGCTTGATACATCAATGTCTAAATTATAGACTATAAGTGTGTCATAAAATGTCGACAACTGGGGTTTAAGTGAAGAGATGAAGGGTAATAGAAGTCCATGTTCAAGCGCAGTCAGGAGAATGAGAGAGAAGACCCCATCGCGAATCAGTCTACTTGCCTGTAGTAGATTCCATCAAAGAAAAAATGCTAAAGATAAGTCGCTAAATTAATTCCTTCACTTTCTGCCCTGAAACACCCACAGCCATGCTCTTTTCGTTTAAGTAATCACAAATAAAATTAACCGTCTCCATTAATTGAAAATTCCCTATAAGACACTCAACGTTCAAAAAGAGCAACAATTTACTATTTTCTTTCATGCATCCAAGTTATTTCACAAATGCTAATGTCTTTTAAGCCAAAGTGAATTACAATCCAGGTTAGCATATCAATTTATAATCAGTTCATAGAAAGTGGTCTTCAAAATAAACCCTCCAGCCAACTGGTTGTTGTGAATGATCTCAGAAACAAGAATTTTGGTATTCAAACATCAGCTTCAACCGGAGCACATCCAACTTCTACCCTAGTGCCTTGAAGAAGGTTATATGTTAGTGATGGTTTGTGATGCCAGCCATAGACGTTCGTTTACTTCCTGATGGGATCTACATGTCGGTACAACAAAATGGAAACTCTTAGTTCGTAAAGTACCAAGCAATAAACCATTTTTACCAGATTTCCTATATGCCTATTCCAGTAAATGGTTGACTCTAAATCAACGGGTGATGTTGTGTTAATCAAAAAAGGTTAAAAACGACGTACCTGCTAAAACACAGAAACACAAACGGCTCCGGTGACCGATCGAAAGCTTGTTTGACAACACTTGACAGCAATTAAGCTGCCTAGTGTAGGTTGCACTAAGCAAGGTGAATTAAGGATCCAGCAACTCATCTGATTGTTGTCGTACAGCAAACATACCTTTATTCGGCGGTCGCATTTGTAGAACCAGCATGAAAGCTGTTGTATAATCGGGAGTGATAAGGTTAGAAGCACTCGTACCTACCTTGAGCGCTGCTTATAGTAGCATATTGACGTCAAGTTGCTAGTATGCTGATGTGCGATAACAGTGAACTAATGCGCATAGAGAACTCTCAAGGAGGGCGCTGGTGGCACGTACCCATAGGCATGTTACTGGAATATAGTTTTAATCTTTTTTAGCCTGGTGGTGCTCCTTCGTCGTTATGCCTAGCTCCCTAAACTGGGACTTACATGTACAGATTTTTACAAATCCCCAAATGTGGAACGTGTTGCTGTAATTATGCATGTTTAGCCATAGAGCGCTTGTGATGTATCTATGCAGACAAGTAGCTATACAGAATTTGATTCGAAAACCTGTGTATGAATGCATATTCCGTACATTTTTGATGATAACAACTAGTTAGGAACTTAAGTATTTGTGAAGAGTTCGATCCATTCACTTGCCTCAGCTGTTTAACCCATTGCATGATGTGAAGCATGATTATGAGATAATAACACGTTCGAAAACAACTGGACTTTAATCCAGACCGGAAAGCAAACCGACTTCTACTTTTTAGACGAACAATGTAGGGGCACTGAACATTTTATCAGCCGATTGAATAGGCAATCAAACAACTTTCTGACGTCTGGCGTCGTAACGAACTTTTACCGGTGCTCCATCTGCTGCATCTATCTAGATGGGTGAGAATGGTTTATATTTTTAGGTCTTCCACATTTTTATTCCTCTCATAGGCTTTTCCCACCATATCATTCCTTTCCATACCCTGGTGTATCCACTGTTTCAAAAAGCATCTGGACATTCCCCATCTGGTTCTGAGGAACAGCTGTCTCTGGGATCAACTCGCATGTAATCCCGGGTCGCTCTTGCTCTATTGACAATTCCGTGGCCAATGAAGCGGACAACATCAATTCATCTAACTCTGTTTGGAGCCTATGATCCTCTCCAAGACTGGCACATCTCACCTTGCGCATATTGTTAAAGATTGGCTAACAGACCTCAATTAGCTGAACATTAGAGATTCAATCCATGGATATCTGCTGCTTATCGGAAGTTCACTAGTAGGAATCTTTTACTTAGCGTACGACCTCTGTCATAAGACGCTGCCCGTCCTCTTTTACTGCGCCCGTCACGAGGATTCAAGTGCCAATCGAAGATGCGGGTATTTCTGTAATCCATCGATCGGAAGCTGCTCTGACCGACTAAATTCCAGTCACTGGCCGGATATGTGCCATCAGACTGACCGGCTCGTTCGAGGGTTTGAAGTCGCGCAAGGAAAGAAAAGGAACGGTTTGTAAGAGCTACCAAGATGCCTATAGACTGTAATAATGACAGTGCAAGATGACTCCTGAAGTCAATCGAACGAACCCTTTTGTCACAGAAAAATACGGGTATCGATTCTATTGCTAACCACCAGAATGCTCAGAATGGAGTCTTGTCGACTGATGAGTTGCATCTGGGCGGCGAAACAGCGTAATCTCCCTTGATGACAACGGTGTGCCGTTCTTACATAGGTATGCAAGTGCTCACCTATTTCTCACAAGCACTAAATTGGACACAAATCCATCGCAGCTTTATGTTACTTCCACCAGCCTTCAATCAACCATGGACACAGATCGATCATAAAGCGAGCAAGTACAGTTAAACGTGTGCCTCTGGTACTGCCGATTG